TGTGGAAGTTCTGGTAGTCCCAAACCGGGTCGGCCGTTGGAGGTCGAGCTTGCGGCGGTCTTTAGCAGCTTGAGTCGCGGTTCTGGACCTTCAAGAGTTGGGCCTCGACGAGCTTCCTGGTGGCCGTGAACCACGCACTTTGCTTCCTTCGCCATTGTGGTAGCTCATCGGTCTTCCAGAGGGGTTCCTGGTTAACGAAAGCCAGGTGCAGCGGCTGAACCGGGTCCCGTCCGAACAGACAGAAGTAGGGTGAGTCGCCCAGGGTCTCCTGGTGAGCCGTCCTGTAGGCCCAGAGGAGACGAGGCAAGTAGGTATCCCAGTCCGTCTTCGCCGCGTTCACATACATACGCAGCATCGTAGCCAGCGTAGAGTTGAACCTTTCCACTAGGCCCTGGCCCTGCGGGTGTCCAGGGGCGCTGGCTATCTTGGCGATCCCGACTGTCCGGTACAGGGTCTCAACAAACTTGGAGACGAAATTGGACCCACGGTCGGACTATAGTTTGTCGGGGACTCCGTACCGACACAGGACCTCGTCCACCAGGACTGTCAGGAAGGTGGAGGTCGTCAGGTCGGGGACAGCGAACGCTTCTGCCCAGCGTGTGAAGTAATCCATGAACACCAGGATGAACTTGTTCCCTCCTGGCGTTGTCGGTAGGGGTCCCAGGGCGTCCACAACCAGAAAGCTGAACGACCCACGCAGTTCGTAGACGGGCATCCTCTGTAGGAGGCCTTGCTTCCAGGGTTGAGTCCCCTTGGCGACCCCGCAGTGCAGAAATTGCTGGCCGTATCGCGCCACATCCTCCCGCCACTGGTGCCAGTAGCCGATCCTCCGGACGCACTCCAGAGTCTTTTCTCGACCAAAATGGCCGGACAGGGGCGAGTCGTGACAAAGGTACAACACGTCGGTCGTCAAGGAGACAGGGAGACGGGCACCATGTTGACCTGGGGGTTCCTGAGAAGGATCTTTAAGACGATTCTTCGGTAGAGGACTCCTTCACGTAAGGCTTAGTGCTCGTGGGTCCGGGTCACCAGGCGCATCATCCATGCGTCCAGAAGCAGGGCTTTGTACTCGAGGTACGCCTTGATAGCCAGTACGAACGGATACTTGGGCTGCTCTGCACGGAGCATGCGATCTGGGAGCACGTAGGTGTCGTCCTTGTATGGCGGCAAGAAGCGCGGGCTCAGGTAGGGCCGCCGTGCCCTCCTGGACCTTGATCGTTGACCCTGGCGTCTCGGCACGCCTCCTGGGAGTCTTCCTGGACGACTCTCTGTCGTCCTGCCCGGGTAGTTCTTGGTCCTTGGGCACCCTAGGACGATCAGTCCTCAATCTGGCTTGCTTTTCCCTGCTCCTGGTGACGGCACCGACCACTCCTCGTGAGATCGAGCAGACCCTAAGCCGCTCTTCTGGGATGGGCTGAGGTATGAATTCTTCCCGTTCGGCGTCCCATCGGTTCGCTAGGTCGGTCCTGGTGGCTCGTCGGTGTCGGCAGGGAGGCGTGATAGCCCGTCGGCGCAACCCATTTGGGCTCCTGGACGGTGTATGACCGTGAAGTCGAGGCTCTGGAGGTGAACCGCCCACCTGGCGAGCTTTCCATTGCCGACTTTGATCCAGTCTTGACAGCCACACCAGGGCCGCGTGGTCGGTGTACCCCGTGAAGTGTCTTCTATCGATGTATGGTCGGAACTTGGTCGTTG